AAGCGAGTGTTTGCAAGCGAGTGAGTGAGAGAGCGAGTGAGAGAGTGAATGAATGAGCGAGTGTGTGCAAGGGAGTGAGTGAGTGTGTGAGTGAGAGAGCGAGTGAGTGAGCGAGCGAGTAAGCGAGTGTGTGCAAGCGAGTGAGTGAGAGAGCGAATGAGTGAGCGAGTGTGCACATGAGTGAGCGAGTGTGTGCAAGCGAGTGAGAGCGCGAATGAGTGAACGAGGTTGTGTAAGCGAGTGAGTGAGTGTGCGAGCGAGAGAGCGAGTGAGCGAATGAGTGAGCGAGTGTGTGCAAGCAAGTGAGTGAGTGTGCGAGTGAGAGAGCGAGTAAGCGAGTGTGTGCAAGCGAGTGAGTGAGAGAGCAAGTGAGAGTGTGAATGAATGAGCGAGTGTGTGCAAGTGAGTGAGTGAGTGTGTGAGTGAGAGAGCGAGTGAGTGAGTGAGCGAGCGAGTAAGCGAGTGTGTGCAAGCGAGTGAGTGAGAGAGCGAATGAGTGAGCGAGTATGCACATGAGTGAGCGAGTATGCACATGAGTGAGCGAGTGTGTGCAAGCGAGTGAGTGAGTGTGCGAGCGAGAGAGCGAGTGAGCGAATGAGTGAGCGAGTGTGTGCAAGCAAGTGAGTGAGTGTGTGAGTGGGTGTATGAGGAAGTGAGTGAGCGAGCGGCACGGCCGATGAGTTCAGCGACGGAACACAGCAATGCATGGCTGGGGTTGCTACCTGTCCGGGAATTGGCATCCGTGTTCAGGTGGTGACAGGAATAGATTTGTACAGAGACCTCATATCGGTGTTGTGCGCTGCACTCGTTTTGTGCTAACTGCACGGTTTTGATGATAGGCCCGGTGCTGACTGAGTGACATGCCTAGGGTTTTGTCGAGAGCGGGAAGAGGTTGCAACCAGAGCCGTGGGAAATATGTAGGGGTAATGAATGGTGGAGGCGATAATGTGTATCTATTAATTACGGTTATGGCAAATTCACTTTATTGGCAATTTATTAATGTTGGTGTAATGCGAGCGCTGCCATCTCAGGTCTTATAATAGAGTAAAATAGTTGGCTTGGGCCTATGGATTGTAGCCCTCAGAATGCAAACGGGTCTGCTGAGGGGCTAATAGAACATTGGCCTTATCACCCACGTGTTCATGACTGAGCTTATAATTTTTTTTTTTTATTCTGGACAGCCCAAAAGCAACATTTTCAGAGACGCTGCATCAATTGTTTGGTCAATTCCTTCTAATTATTTTGTGATACAAACTCCACATTAAATGGCCCACTGCCCCACGAGGCCTCTCACTTTTATCCGTTGCTTCAAGCATCTCGGCCACACTAATCAGGTACTTGGGCGGGGATATTTCCCACCTGGCAACACCATCTAATCTTAGCACGCTCAAACACTTCTGCCACCAAGACTGAGAGCAGCGGTTGTGGTGTGCGCTACTGTGTGGCTGGCCACCAAAGGCATTTGAAAGTCACGTACAGCCCTCATTACGGACCACAATCATCGTCCGTTACTTACGCCCAGCGGTTCAACGCAGTGCCAAGAAGCTTCCACGCACCTGGCCCGGAACGATAAACTAAAGGGAGCGACTCAACCGGAGCTTAGACAGGCGGTCCAATGTGTCCCTAAACCGCAGACCCGGAGGATTCGTCGTCGGCAGACAGAGGCCACTACAGCCCACGCTGGAGTCGCTCGCAAGATCGTTTTGGTTGTGGCAGCGAGACCCACGGCGTCGCCGTGGGTCTCGTTAGCTCGTCCCGCGTGCCGCTACCGCCGCCACTGCCCGCCGAAGATTTCTCTCAAATGCAGCAGGCACGGCGGCGGCGGCGTTGGCGGCGGCGTTGAGACGAACGGCTCTCCCATTACTCACGTGGCTCCTCGGAGGGAGCCGCGCGCAGTTTAAGGTTCAAAGCGTCCAGAGCGAGCGAGCGTCGCGGCGGTCGCAGCTAAGCCTGTGATAAATTGCAAATTGGAGGGGGAGCATTGCCGCACCCCCCCCCCCCCCCGCTCCCCCCCCCCCTGGGAGGAGCGCTGTGCCCTGCGCCAGTTCTGAATAAACAGCGACGTTTCCCCCCCCCCCCCCCCCCGCAACTCGCGACAGAAAGGTCCGGCGACCTCGCGATCGCAATCCGCGGCCTCAATTAAGCGAGCGCGGTGTTTCATTAACCTCCCCCCCCCCTTCCCCGCCGCCTCCTCCTCCCCCCCCCCCACCACACCCACACCTCCGTCCACCGCATCGTTTCCCGGCGAGCGTCATTGTAGCGTCGCATTCCGCTCGTTTGTGTTGCATCCCTGAGGCCGGAGCCAAATTGCGGCCGCCCCCCCCCCCACTCCGCCGTTCCACCCGCCCCCCTCCCACGAAGCGACAACCGCCACCACCGCCCCCTAGCCCCTCCCGAGATTTGTCGCTTCCCAACGGACATTTACTCATGGCAGCCAACTTCACAGCCACATGAAATTCACACATGCGGCCGGTACCATTAGCATGCCAATTTGCATGTCATTACGGTTATCTGTGGCGGTGGTGTTTTGCACCGAGCCAACCGCCCTTACTTTGTGTAATTTTACGCAAAAGTGAAAACTTTAAATGTCATTTCTGGCTCCTCTTGTCGAGCCACTGCTGGACGAAGGACCTTGTCACGCCGTGTCGGTCGTTGGGGCCTGTTTGAACGTACTTCACCGGCCTGGTCCATGCAGGTTGGCGAAGGCGGTCATTTTGTATAAACATACAAATCATAAAATAATAAACATGTGCAGTGTGCCGTCAATGTCATTAAAGTTATCAGGGAAAACCTCACCGAGTCTCAAGGCTTGTTTTTTTAGGTGGGTCCTGCATTGGGACAATTGGCCGTTGCCGTTTTGAATGTTCTTGTGTGTAGGTGGAACACAGAAATAACGCTTTTTGTATCTTGGTAAAAAACAAAAAACAGTTTCTCCGGTCCGTGGCACCAACCACCCAGCGGAACGCGATGCAGAGCAAGTCTTGTCGGGGATGGCACGAAGTCCTGCTGTGTGACCATTTCTGCCATATCAAGTAAAACTATAAAACCATTTTTTTTATTTTGCCAGGTAAGGCCCACTGAGCTATTGTCCAGAGGGGAGCTGGCTTTCACAAATGATAGCTCAATGAAGTGGCTTATCATCGTGTGAAAATTGATAGCAGCCAAATACTCGAAACGCACATTTCTAGATGTGGAGGGAAAAACTGGAGTACCCCGACAAAAATCCACAGGGAGATAGACACGCAAACTCCAAATATACAGGTGTCAGGGTTGGAATCAACCCGACGACCTCCTGTATACCTGGCGAGGTAGTTAACATCTCGCCACCGAGGCACCCCTAACTTACCCCGCCCACTATCTATTAGCCTCGTGAAGAATGCAAATAAAACTCACCACACGGAAGGTGATCTCCACGATGCCCGCCACGCCAACCGGCTCGTGAACCTACCCGACGCACTGCAGCCTCCTGGTCACATCGTGAGTTTCACAAATCTCTACGGGATCCGCCAAGCCCCTTGCCTCTAGGAGCGCTTGATCGCGGGCGTCTTGCCACTACAAAAGCGAGGCTGTTGGTGATGAGCCTCAGCAGCAGCTCGATGATCACCCGGTCTCTGGGTGGTGTCAACACCTGCTGTCTCCGCTTGCCAGCGCGATAAGTTGAACAAGTTTTTGGAAGAAATTACACCAATGCAATTCGCGTGGATTATGTAACGTCCCCCCCCCTCCCCCCGCACGCTTTTGTCTTCAGAAGCATTTAATTGGCGCAACGGAAGCTGGTTGGTAGCTGTCAGGCCAAAAAAAAAACATGTATACGTCTGCAAGTAGCCCCTTTTTGCTCAGATTTGAGTTTCCATGTTTTGGGCAACGCTTTGATTAATCTGGCTGATGTTCACTTTGGTCCTGAATAGCAACACAAATGTATTCCAAAGTTTGCCTCATATTAATGTAACACGCAGTAGCCTTTCTCGCTCAATGTTACTCATTATCACGTTTTTTTGGGGTTAGATCGCGTACATGTAAATGTGTCGTTCGTTAACCCATCTCCACCCGACATAGCCAATTAGTAAAGTTCATGACGTTGTGAACAAAACGCGGTAATTAGTGACTACTCCAGCACTCCGGTGTGTTGGGAATTAAATCCACGACGTTTTAGAATTTGGCTTGTATTGCATCAGCTTTCAGAGATTCATTGTTATCCCCCATCTTGCCAACGGACGGACGAAGCGATAACGCCTTCAACCTTGGTGGGAGAGCGTAAAAAAACGGTGGAGTTGGCAGTCTATCGTGCAGGCAATGCAACTGCACCAGGGCCCACGTGCCAGAGCAACTCTGCCACCGGAGGGAAACTGGACAGGTGAAGGGCGGACCCCCACTTAATCCCTTGCACCAGGGCCCTTGTCATCGCTTGAAGTTCATGCCAAGCCCCTTTTGGACCCATGCGCTTCACCTTAAAACAATGCGAATTCAACCCCTGATCAAGCCTGGAGAGCTGAATGGAGTTTAAATGAAACTCGCAAAACAAACATATTGTGAAAGACTCAACGCAGAATATTCCAGGGTTTGATCTTCCACAAATCTCACCCTAAATCGCATCCATTGCACAAACTATAGCAGATGCGGATACCTTATGCACACATTGAAAATGTAAAACTCTCCAGCATGCGACTGTGGTCATCCAGAACAGACCATACAACATATCACGATGTAATGTCCGATACACAAATACAAAAGAGACATTGCAGCGATAACACTCCGCTACTCCTGATGCAGTTACCTGGCTTGACCACCTGAATGTGAGATTGTAGTTGTAGCTCTGCATCTACATCAGCCGTACGAAAGAAAGAAGACCACCTGAATGTGAGATTGTAGGTTTTTGCTCTGCATCTACATCAGCCGTACGAAAGAAAGAAAGAAGGCCAGGGCACCACGCAAAGTCACGCTGCGCCACTGGGCCATGCGGCGTTCTGATGGGCGTGGAGGGGCGAGCCGCTGCTACTCACTCTCGGCGCGGGAGCAGGAGGCCAGGCAGACGAGCAGAGCGCCGGCCACCATGGCCAGCAGCGGCAAGCGGGTGAACACCGGCGACATCCCGGATGGCTCGGGCGATCGCAGGCGGCGGGTCAAAGCGGAGGGGAGCTGCTGCGGACCAGAGTCACCTGGTGGCCTCGACGTTCTAGATCAGACAAAACCTGGAGAGGGACAGAGACGGGAAGGAGAGAATGGTGTCATTGATGGGCAGGTGGGGAATGTCTCGAGAGTGTCACTGTTGTCATCGTCATTATTATTATTATTATCATCATCATCATAAGTCTCGTACATCACTTCATGAGTGATGGTGGGTCTGAAAGAATTTCGACCGTGTTGTCATTTTTCTTTAGACGGTATCACTACTCCGTTCAGTCTCGATCATCTTTCTTCTACCACTTTTCTCCCTGCATCCATCCGCCTGGTTTTATGTTTTTGGGTCACTGCGAAGCCACGAATTTGCTGGGAGGCTCAACTAGGACACAACGTGGAGTTGGCAGCCCCTTCCTCTGTGAGCACCGCCCACTATTAGAGCCACGCCCACTCAGTCACTAGCACCGCCCACACAGGAAGCGGCCTCCTCACTCTTTATTATAACCACGAGCCTTTTGCCCGTCCGAGGACGGGTGTATTTCAGTAAATCTGAAACTTGCAAGCGAAAAGCAGACGTGATATTCATTGCATCAATTCGTGTGCAATTTGTAAGGCCACGGTGACACAGACTTATTTCATTTAAAGGTTATAATCCCTTGTTCATCATGACGTGCTTTTTGTTTATGTCTCAATAGTGTAACGGAGATTGTGCGACGTGAGGGTTCTGCCTTTGTAGTGAGGGTTGTAAGGTGACACTGAAGGGGGAGGAGGCGCCTCGCCCCCCCCATGTGGATTGACGTCACCCGCGAATTATTATTAATGGGGGGGGGGGGGGGGTGTCCATTTGGAAGACGTCAGCTCTTCATGATTATTAATGAGGGGGCTGTTCGATGTGGAGGACATCACCTGTTCATGATTATTAATGAGGGGGGCTGGCCGACGTGGAGTGACGTCACGCATGGGACACACAGACATTCTTGGCTCATTATAGTAGTAAATGAGTGGGAATCGAACCTGGTTACCCATGCTCGTAGCACAGCGTGCTAACTTCTCCCAACACAAAGACAAAGATCCCTCCGTATAGCCTGAACAGACTGTTGGGGCAAGTGCTGTTAGTGAGCTCCTCTGTGAAGGCCGGCACAGCGCATGAGGGGGTAGCCGGTCAACACCATGCCCGGCTGCCTTTGCCTTCCCAGTGGGCAGACACACACACATATACACTAAGACATATACACACACACACACGAGGCTGAGATCATTGTCAGCTCAACACCCCTTTCGAACCAAGTACAAACCAAGCCCTGGGGGGGGGGGGGGGGGTGGGGGGTGGGCGTGGGGGGCACGGGATAATGGGATCAGCTCATTTACGCATGTAGCAATTCCGCACTAACATAACCGGCGCCACGAGCAACAACACAACGGTCGCATTCATAAGTGGAGGATTAAATATATTCAGTGTGAAATCTGAGCGCTTGTCGAGAAATCTAAATCGGGGGGGGGCGGGGGGCCCGCCCCAGCCGACCCCGTCTCCCCAAGCCAGCCATACCTTCCCCCCCAGACCTAGATCCTCGCTGGCTAACGCCGCTCCTGAATTGCTCGCTAAGTGCACGCCGGTAATTCCTGCTCTGCCCTCCCCTGCCTCAGTGTTCATCCACCACACTGCAGGTCACAGCAACACGCTTTCCTCACTGGCTCGCTCGGCCGCCCACTGGCTCGCTCGCTCGCTCGCCCACCCACTCACTTACTCACCACAATGCAGGTCACATCACTTCTCTTTCTGCTTCTTCCCTCGCCACTGGTCCACTCTGGAATTCCCTCTTGTATCATCACCATCGACATCATCATCATCATCATCGTCACCACCATCCACAAGCTCTAATATAACCGTGCTCCAGTCAATACACGTGGTACACAATTTCATAGTGCTGTTTGTTGCTGGCCACTTGGCATTTTGGGGCCACTGCTCCGCAACAGTGATTACAAAAAAAACGTAACGCCTTCCTCTCTCTCCGTACCCCCCCCCCCCCCATCGTCACAAACGCCTCCACGTTGTTACGTGACGCAGGGCGATCCATTTAAGGATACCCCAATAAAATAACCTGGAGGCATTTTACCTTCGAAGCCTCCTCTCACACTGTCTCCCGCGAATCCCGAACACCCCGACAGCATTCAAACAGCCGTTGGGAAGAAACAGGGTCGTTCAAAATGAGTGGGGGATCTTATCAACGGATCACCCTGTCAGATGCAATGACGATGACGATGACATAAACAACAACGCTGTTAATCGACTGCTGGATGAAGGCCTCTCAGCCCCACCCCCCACCCCTCCAAGCCGTTTTTTCGCGTCGAGCCCCCGGGGTGCGGCGCGAAACGTCGGGCACGCCGTCCGCGTCAAACAAATAACGCAGCGTCGGGGAAAAGCTGCTGCGGCCGGGACCCCCGAAACTCAGCTCGCTAGGTTCAAGAGCGGCGCACCAACGCCGGCCACGGCCGCTCGTGCGGTTAATTGGTGGGGGGGGGGGGGGGCGGTAGGGGGGGGGGGCATCGTCGTTAGCGGCTGGGACCCGGCCCCCGCGCCGTCCACGCTGGTAATTGCCACCGCCCGCCGCTGATTTTGGAGCACCGTGTGGGCTGCAAGTGACCACGTCCATCGATTCGCGAGGACAAAGCCCACAACACTTCCCCCCCCCCTCACACCGTGCACAGTCCTGTAGCACTGGGGGGGCGGTTGGAAGGTGCTGACCCTCCCCCCCCAACTTCTAAAGGCTCAGTCCCCCCCTGTAAAGTATTCCGAGTCAAAATGAAGCGATGGCAGCAACAGGGGGTGAGCGCCAGAGCAGAACGCACGGTAGACGCGGGCGGATCGCGTCGTTACTCATTCCGTTGAGCGTTAAACATCACTTTAAAGTTTGTTTAATGCTGACTGTGCCGAAGCGCCCCCCCGCCCCCCCCCATAAGTAATTGTACCACCCCCCCCCCCACCACCCCTCTCGTGCAGCCACCACAAGCAGCAGGGATTGCTCCAACCTTCGCTTCTTTTCCCTGTGTGTTTTTTTAAATCTTCAAGAGCGCACGGCGCTTTTGTTTTGCTGCCCCAATTAGACGTTCGCTCCTACTCCGCTTTGCTTAACGATGTCTGTGAAGCCGTGGGTTCCACTTGGAATGCGTTCGTTAGGGATGCGGGCCCGATATGAAGCCAATCTCAGCTGGGCTGACGCTGGCACATCCTCCCCTCCCTCCTCTCTCTCCCTCCTCCTCATCCACCTCCACACCCCGCATGTTTCTCTGCTCACCACCGATCGCTCCACCTCACCATCTCACCCACCTCCTCCACACCCCGCCTGTTTCTCTGCTCACCACATTGCTCAATGCTTCAGCCCTCTCCGGTCGTATGAAGGCATTAAAGCCTCCACCAGGCCCCTTCTGCTGGAGGAAGGCCTCCCACCCCAAGCCACGGTGCTCTTTGTGGTGGTATTTAAAAGACACGAATCTATTGAAATTATGCTTCCGGCATCGTTTCAGCGGATGAAATCCCCGTTTTGGAAATCTCGCAGAGTAGTTATTCACCCCATGTCAGAGAATGTCCCGCTGAAGGAGATAAAACAGAACTACTTCTGAGATCTAGGGAAATGCTCATCGTTCGGCCGTCCAGCCGATAGATTTGAATTCTCGGAACTGGAATTTTCCCCCAACTCAACTGCGAATCCCCAAATGTGACGACGATGGCTTTTGTATCATCGCGCAGTTGGTGGCTGGCCTGACAGCGCCGACCGTCGTCAACTCGCCGCACTCACAGAAAACGAGCTGCCACCCCAGACGCGAACCCAGGCGTCTCAGCGGTGCCTGCTCAAGCGTGCCAGCTGACCCCCGAGCCATTCCTTCTCACCCACCTCCTCTTTCATCGAAGCGGCGCAAGGTTGAAACCGCACGCAGCCCAAAACGCCCACTTGCTGGAGCAATCCTTCGCAAACCTCCGGCGCGTTTGATTTATGCGAGCGCCGTAATGGCTCGAGTCGGGTAGCATTCCCACTTGGGGCGGGGGGCTCGCACGTGATGGAGATGGGGGGTGGGGGTAGGCAGTTGGGGGGCGGGAGAGGTCGGGCGCGGGAGCTTGGCCGTGATCTGCCACGATGAGCACCCAGCGCCATGTGGGTTTACTGCGGCCTATTTCAATCCCCCCAAATCTCCAACTGTGGCCCAACCCTGGACGGATTTAGATCCCCGGCTCTGGCATTCCAGCCTCGCGTGCCTCGCGCAGTGGGTAAGAGAGAGATAAAAAAAATACAAACTTAAAAATAAAAGAGGACCCAGACTGGGGGGGGGGGGGCATGTGGTCCAAAGTTCTGGAACACGGCTGATTCAGTTATTTTATGCTCTTTTATCAATTTGCTGCTGGATGATGGCCTCCCCACGCCTTGTCTCGGTCATGGGGATTTTTCGGGAACACTTCACCACGCTGGTGGTTGGTGAGGATTGGTCAGTAAAAGGTCAGGCTTGCGTCCATTGTTAATTCGTGTTTAACTATATTGGACGTGGTGTGCCACGCGCAGAAATAATGTCTGGGTTGCCGACTCTGACCACTGATGTCCCGCAATCACAGAACTTCTGGAACCCGAAGTGCGTTTTCCGTGGCACGGCCGTTCATACAAGCGGGAAACTGAGCGGGCGAGTGACCTACCCACTCGGATGACCCCGGCGATGCTTGGCCAGGTGTGGTAGGGGGGGAAATTAGCACAAAGGCCGAGAGGCCTCTCCCTGTAGGTCCGCTGCTGCACCCTTCTCGCCGCGGCAACGCTTCCTTGGTTTGCGTACACGCCGGTGACTCGACAGCGGACGTTTCAGATTTCCGCAAATAGACCCCCACGTCAATCCAGGGCTGGCGCAGGTACTTGGAAGGTATTCACGGGTAAATCCCCCCCCACCGCCTCCCCGGGTTATTTAGAGGAAGAAAATGCCTCGCATTCCACGTGCGTGCCAGACAGGTCATACATTTTTTGCATGCTATTTAACTTCTGCCATAGGATGAAATCGTGATAATTGTCAGGGCTTTAAGCATTAAACTTTTAACAAT